CATTAGCACCTCTAGTAATATATTTACTGAGAAAAATGGTGACGTGTTCAGTACTTATTTTACCCGCTGTACCTCCAGATTTTTATTTGCTTTTTCCTCAGGTAAATCAATGCAGAACAAACTTTCCGTCAAGTGTTTACATTTCAGCAGCTAAAAATGAATTTTATGCATCAGGAAGCTGTAATTGTTTAACCCTCCAAGGATCTAAAGACGTTTTTAGACTGAACTGTAATTAGGACCAAGCAGCAGCTAAAACTTTAACCAACAGTAATGAATAAACTTAGATTTTATCTTATCAAAAATTACAAACAGAACCAGACTGTAGCTCAAAGAGAGGGAAAGGTGAATGACMGTCAGTACCCACACACACAGTAAACTCACTGAACCCAGTCAAGGACGCAACTGTAGTTTCCAGAGACGAGAGAAAATAAAACTTTAGTGATTTTTTTTTAACTAGACTAAAACGCTCCTTTTAGGAGGCTACAACCATGCTGCAAGTTGACTAAAGGCCACTTTGGTCRTATTTTAGAGTCTAAGTTTGCATGGCATCATTTTAATGGTTTTATAAAGGTGTTGCTATGAAATACTGTAAATGTACTGTAAAAAAAACACAAATAAGCAAATCAGGCAGCTTGGAACAGTCCCAAAGACAGGTGGGGGACAGGAAGGGCAAGAGGACAAGGACCTGAAAGATTTARGGAAGAGCACTCTGGTTTATCTCTTTTTGTAGAATAAACTCTGCTGAACTTTGCTCATTTCCAGTGTCGCTCATGTTGCGTGTACTTTTGAGAATTCAGTTAGTTTTTAACATGACTTTGTTCAACATTGGTCAAAAGGTCTAGAAACCAACACTGACTGAAAACTGGACATTTTTTACACAACTGTAATCATAATAAAAGTGATCTTTAGTCTTTTATAGTTACAGTGGATTACAGTATTCTCCACATCTGTAAGTTTCCTTTTAATTTACATTTTACAGTAAATAGGTGATGGTCTGAATAGTTTGCAACTTAACTCTGACAATATAAAAATGTTTTAATAATAGTCTTATAAAACCCCTTTATGGCAGCACCTTCAGTTCTTATCGTCCAGCTTACCTTGTGATGGGACGACTCCATGATCAACTCTCCATACATGTTCATGACCTTCAACAGAAAGAACAAAAGTTTTAATGCTGGTTTTATTTAGCTTAAATAAAAACTGTTATAATGCAAAGGGCATGATCTGCTAGAGCACAAATCCATGAAGCATGTTTGCATTCATCAATACGCAGAATTAATGGTGATTATTAGAAAGTGCAAAACATTGCATGGAGGATATGCAGATATAATCATTTAGCACAWTTTGATTTATCTAACTTGAAACTTTATGCAGTTGCTGTTTTTGCATCTCATCTTTAGCTCATTTGAAAGGCAGGTGCAAAATGACAGCATTTCAAACAAATGTCTTCAGTCATTGTGGCGAGGAGGAGGAGGAGAAGGAAGAGGAGAAGTTACAATGTCAGATGATGGAGAGAGAAAACGTTCTGTGTGCGTTAGCATATTTGCACGATTAAAAAAAGAAAAAAAAGGAGAGATTTAATTATGGCTGAGTGATATGACTGAAAAATGTATGAAATATATAATCTTTTCATATCAGTCAATATCAGTAATGGTTAGTTTTTTTGTTTTATTTGAAGTAAGGACCAGGAAAAAAGAAAAAGCCTGATCAATACAGTCAACCTGGTGACACGACCTTTCCTCGTTTATCCATACTGTAATTTTCTCCTTTCACTCSACAMCYTTCTTTAMTTTTAAGRAGTTATGAGGCACGGTAGCCTGACCAAAGAGTGAAGGAGTTAGTTGATGCCACCAACCTTGCTTAGCTGGGCTGTGAAAGATTGCGTGTCTATTACGATGTACACTGCCTGGCCAAAAAAAAAGTCACCACCAATTAAAAAGGTCACACTCTAATATTTAGTTGGATCTTTATCTTTGATTATGAGACTCATTCTCTGTGGCATTGTTTAGATAAGCTTCTTACAATGTTACCAGATTTTTTTCACCCAGTGTTGCATTAATTTTCACCAAGATCTTTCATTGATGATGGTAGAGTTTGACCTTCTCCTGCACATCCCAAAGATCCTCAGTGGACTCTGTGGAGCCAGTCCATGTGTGAAAATGATGTCTCATGTTCCCTGAACCACTCTTTCACAATAAGAGCCCCATGAATCCTGGCATTGTCATTTTGGAATATGGCCGTGTCATCAGGGAAGAAACAATCCARWGATGGAATAACCTGGTCATTCGGTATATTCAGGTAGTCAGCTGACCTCATTCTTTGAGCACAAACTGTTGCTGAACCTAGACCTGACCACCTGCAGCGACCCTAAATCATAGCACTGCCTCCACAGGCTGGTACAGCATCACTTCACCTGCCTCTCTTCTTACCCTGATGCACCCATCARTCTGGACCAGGATCAATCTGGACTCATCAGACCACATGACCTCCTTCAATTGCTCCAGAGTCCAATTTTTATACTCTGTAGCAAATGAAGCCTTTTTGTCCCCAGTTATCTTCACTGTTTTCTTAKGGCTACACAGCTGTTCAGTCCCAGTCCTTGAGTTCTCTTCACATTGTGCTCTTTCACTATTAAACGTAGCTTGGAGTTCTACTGTTGTTTTTCTTCGATTTGATTTCACCAAACGTTTAAGTGAACGCCGACCATTCAGGATTATTTTCCAGCCACATTTCTTCCTCGAWGGCYATGGGTCCCCACTATTCTTCCAGTTTTTATTAATACGTTGGGACAGTTCCCAATTTTAATAGTTTCTTCAATCTCRTTAGATGTTTTCTCTGCTTGATTCCAATGATTTGACCTTTCTCAAACTGACATCTTCTCCACGACCACAGGATGTGTCTTTCCACATGGTTGTTAAAGAAAGGAGAAGCAACTCATTGCACCAGTTGGGGTTAAATAACAAACAACTGAAAGATAATCACCCATGCAGTAATTATCCAACAGGAGGCTCATACCTATTTGTTTAGTTAAATCCAGGTGATGGCTTTTTTTTAGCCAGGCAGTTTATTTCATTGTTTTMTTTTTTTTACCCAGCCACATATCATCTATCCATCTATCAAGTTTGAGCTGCTGGAGGACCTACAGCTGATCTGAAGCCAGTCACAAGTAAAAGCCATGTCATATCTTCTATGGAAAAACTCCTTAAAAAACGTATCTGGATCATTTGTCTCCTCTAACAAGACCTTCAACTCCATGGCTTTGAACTTTCATTTCTCTTTTACAGCCATTCTMCTCTCCTAAACCCTCCATGGCTGCACCACTTTTGAACCAGTTATCATTCGACATGCAATCTTCATAGCTCACCTGCACCATGCCCACTAATAGCATGTACAGTTTGTTTGGTTTGCACACACATTTTAGTGCTTAGTAGATCAGGCCCAGAGATCATACAGATTCCCGCTGCATGTGGTACCAACCTGGTCATTGAGCCAGCTCTGATCAGCCAGGGTCAGCAAGTCCTCCAGAGTTAGTCTGTGTTTCTTGTAGACGACTTGAAAAGATGGGATAGGTTTCTCGATGACTGCAGCTTGGTACCTGAAGACCTCRGAGATGATTTGATTTCTCCTGCACAAGAAGGAGAACAGGTTTTAATCAGCTCTCCCTCTGAATATTTCAAACCATGTCTTCGYGTGGGCTCAGGTCTCACCTGTCGCTGAGGTCAGAGTTGAACTTCCTCTTCAGATGTCCCAATAAGTCTTCCTTACACAGAGGGATGAAGCTTCCATATCTCCTGTAGAAACCATCTAGAAAGTCTGAGGGAACATGCAAACTCTGTCATCACTTAAGGAAAATAAATAGTACTAAATGACTACATGAGCTGAAATCATGTAAATATAATCCATTTAAATTAAACAATCATTTTAGGGGGAAACTGTCACTTTGGTAAAAAAAAAAATCATTTAATTTATTCTGTGTAAAGGACTTCCTGTGAGCTATAATTTGTTAAATACCACACATCAGTTGAAAACATTAAATGACTAGGATTGTAACAATCAATCCATATCAATATAATGGTTCATAAGTCAATTATTTTATATTATCAAGCTCTTCTCTTGTGGAACCAACTTCCAGTTTCTGTCCATGAGGCTGACACTCTGTCTGCTTTTAAGATTAGACTGAAGACTTTCCTTTCTGATAAATCATATAATTAGACTTAGGTTTCCTGAATTATTCTTCATTTCTGCTGGTATAGACTTAGACTGCTGGAGCACAAACTGAACACATTTCCTCACTCTGCTGTTGTCTTTAGTCTCTCTTCTCTACATGTTTATTGTAATTATTTCTATCAATAACGTTTTTTTCTTTTTGTCTCTTTTCCAGAAGAAGGTGCACCTGGACCAGTCCTGGACCAGTTCTTCTATGTTTGTCTTTGTCTCTTTCGTGTCCTCCAACCAGCCGGTCGAGGCAGATGGTCTCCTGTCCTGAGCCTGGTTCTGCTGGAGGTTTCTTCCTGATTAGCAGGGAGTTTTTCCTCTCCACTGTT